CGTACTATTCCAATTTCTCTCCTAGCGTCGCGCCTTTCTCGTGCGGTGCGCATGTTTCTACTACAGTCTGATCAATTTGGCTGGCCAAAACATTGGGACCCATCATTAATTCAGCTGTTGATGAAAAGATGTCTAAATCGGTTAATATTTGCAGGATTTACGCTCTTAAAAGCTAAAAAAGTAAAAAAAAAATTGAATAGTCATCTAATAATGTCTACAATCTGGGGAAAAATGGCGATACATTTGAAGGGTTTTGAACTTCGCTGATTTCACTCTGAATTTCTCATATATTAAAGCGGAACTTCATTGATTTTAGATTCAGATAAAGAAAAATCGGTAATATGTCCGTTTTTTTACCCAGTCTTTTCCGCATGTGCATTGTGCTATCTTCTTTCGAGGTGACAATACTAATTTATGCTACAAGAGCTGGAAAGTATTTTGGGAACGTATTTTATCAGCATCAATTCTATCGTCAATTTAAAAAAAGCCGCTGTACAGGAGGAATGTTTCCCTTCGTGCCTACGCCGTGTTGAAAAATCGTATTCAACCCTCGGGAGGACACATGCTTAGCACCCTCGCCTTCGGCTCGGGTAGCAATTTTGCACGTGGGGAAGACTTATCCATATTTCCTCCCTAGGTGAGAAATATACTATTAACTGTGGGAAAGCTGACCATAATTGCCTTCCTGAATGGTTTCTTTTTTCTCTAATCATTTCTTGATAGAGTTTGATCAGCGCCTTGAATTCCGTGGCAGTCTGCATGTTCGGATACGGAGAGTCCCGTGTTTTGAAATCAGTAAAAAATCTCCCTCTTGATGGAAAGATAGTCTTCATCAAACTAAACTGTTAAATATTGTTGAAGAATCAGAAAGATTTGTTTTATTGAGCAGAATAAATTCATTCTTTTGCATAAATTACATGACCAGTTCGACTCTAGTATCAGTTTGGTAACCGAGAAGGTCCTGACCACGTTGACGTTGGTGTTGCTGGTAGCCTCAGACTGTCAATCATTATGAAGGTTAACAATCAAGAATTCACATGGGGTTGGCCGGCCAATGCTTGGTTTGCACAAATGAAATTGAAAAAAGTAAGGCGAATTTGGTCGATATTCCGACTAGTTTACATTCGTCACATTTTGATTGACTTTTCAGCGGCTTTCACTGTATCAATCATTAATTGCCCGAATAGCTTAATATGTCAATTAATTCGCTACTATTAGGTAAGCATGATCATTTCCATATTGAGCATCCCGGACTTGGATCAGTGCCCGTACTGCAGATAATACGTAATCAGAAACAAAAATACCGGAAATCAATTGTTAAAACTGTCGAAAAATAATGGAGGTCCATAATCACAATAAAATTCCCTTCACGACTATTTCTTTCACTATGCTCGTATCATTGACATTATTACAATACACATTAAAACATTAAAATAGTTAGCATCTGTGAACAGATCTTCCATAGTTGTACAACTACTCCACGTAGACTTATGATATGCGAGGGAAAACAATTTTAGGAAAAATGCAATTTTAGAACTGTCCTTCCACTTTTAACTCTGTTCGGTGAGTTAAATCCGTTTTGGGCCCGTTTGTCAAAATTACCTGTTTTTTAAATTTTCGGACAGATTGTTGGTCGGATTGACGCTAAATAATATACCGTTTCCGTATTGTATTATTGTTCATCCCAAAGTGTCATAGTCATGCAATAATATTGCTTTTTTTTTTAATTTTTGAGAAATTCATAGGACTACCAAAAAATACCGAGAAATTATTGCAGATTTATAAAATTTTTTGATTCATGAAATAATGATAAGATTGAAAAATGTTGTATTTTCCCGGGTTAATGCGATCAACCATTTGTCTGAAAATTCAAAAAACTGGTAATTTTGGCTACGAGGAAGCATCTCATCTTTAAGTTGAACTATGTCTCCAATGAAAAATAATCGAACTTCATTACGCAATTTTATGGGTGGTCGTCGTTCTATTCGTTGAAACGTAGGATTGTTCTTATGCTTCTTATGCTTAAATCATTGCCATGACAAGCATGGCGCTTATGTTTCACAAAGTTTGCGCCTAACTAGTTGGGAAAACACGCCTATAACAGGCCGTGTTATAGGCCTGTCTTGAAGACGACTCATTGATACGTAAAATGCGCATAATATTCCATTTACTATGAATAGATTTTTTCGGCTGGCTTACATACTCATATGCTCACTGATGGAAGTCATTAATTCCTGTTAATAAATCCATTGAACTGATGAGGAGTTCTCTCAATTGTTCACTCAGTAATATTTAATAAGTGCTTATTTGCGAAGTATTGGCTATCAACCAATTTTACGGCATATTCATTTGGTGCCATTTCTTTTTCATTTTTATTTGTGAATTTTGCATGTTAATTAATTTTTACTTTTGTGTTAATGACAAAGAGATGAGAACGTAATTATATATATCCATTTAGCTTTCTAGGGTATAATAACTAGTTTAGATATCTATATTTTAAAAACATCTAAATGCGAATTAAAATATTTGCAATGTTTATACTTTAACAATTTACACGATTATTTGCTCAATAGGAACAATTATGATCAAATAATTTTATCCATTAATTCCTAACTATTCGATGTAAGCCGTTATCAATAAGGAGTTTGAAAAAATGATAGGATATATCAATATATATTTAAGATTGCATTTTTCGAGTGAAGGTATTACTCCCCGCACGGCCAGGCCTCTGCTCCTCTATCCCTTTCTTTCACTCGGCTCAGGGTAAAATCTGGGATTAGGGGTTGCCTACATCGGTGCTACTCCACTCGGTATGTTTGGGTGGCCACGAGTGGCATATAGTCTCGAGTCAGGGTTAAATAAGGATCCCGTCCATTGTACGAGGCCGCTTTACCTATCCCATTGTCTCGCGATTCGAGCTAGCAGCTCACTTGCTAACCGACGAGTGGATCTGCATACGTTTAGCGTCTACGGTTACACTCCTGTATATTGTATCGTTTTAGTCTGGTATAAACGTCTATGAAGATAGCCTACATCTGCTACCTTAGGAAATCAACTCATTGCGCTCAGAACTCATTTCAACATTATACTTTTTTAAATGCTATATTGATTCATTTCCTGCACCGAAATGTTCCACGAAACATGGCGTAATTCCGCAACTATATGCGAATAGAGGTGATCACTAAAAAGTGAAAACAAATACTGGACGAGTAAACTTTGATATATCACATATAATTCATTTCATTAACTGTAACCATCTTCGAATTATGTTAAATCGGCTGGATAATATTCAATTGAAGGCATATCGAATATCTGTTACACCAATTGTACCGAAAACATAGGCCCCCTGAGAGAAAAAAGTATGTTTCCTAACTCGATTCATTTTTGTCAAGTAAATTTACTTGGCACCGGCAAATGTATAAGCATTTTTTTATTCAATTACTATTGTTTTTTTTTTTATTAGTAAATTTATGGCGGAAGTAATTATTTTCCTCAGTGAGCTAGTAAAAATATACGATAAATCTCAAATCTCAAGCACGAAAAATCTGGTACGAATCACAAGTTTTCGCTGGAAAATTTTGCTGCATGCGATTAATGTATATTCCAAAAGAGAGTCAGTACACGGAAAACGGTTTTCTGTTTTAACCGTTCGGGGGAAATTACCATACCCCTCAGTAAAATTTATCGACTGCAGGGGAATGAATATGAGAATATGCCGTAAGATATTGGAGAAAAATTAAGAATAAGAAAAGTGTAATCCTAACAGCAGAAAGGAGACTTGAGAAGAAAGGGAAGAGTATTTGAGTTATCGAAAAAACTAGCAAAATGAATTATTGGTTAGATCATTGTATAATTATAGGGTATGGTACTATTTTGTTTATCTTCTAGTAATATTCTCAGGAGTGAATGAACTAAGTAATGGATTATTGATTATGCAGACTGTGGTGTAACGAATTGTGAGATCCCCGAGAGAAAAGTGAGAGAGTCTTCCTTCAACTCATTTGAAGGGTCAAATTGCACTGTAATAGTTTCCGAACAGCCTGCACAATAAACAGAATTATAAGAGCCAATTATCTTATGTCTGATTCTCTGAGAGTGGGGGGCTTTATATAGCAGTATTGTCCACCCACTCGGGCAGAGCCGCTTCGGCAGGCTCTCTATGAAATCATTCTTGGTTCATTTCCATTCCGTCCGTTTTTCTTGGCTATCTCTGACCAAAAGTTATCTTAGTTTCCTTCTTGTTATGCTCCCGAAATACCATTATATCAAGAATTATCACTAAGCAATTTTTTATTGTCCTGAATAATACGAGAACACAGGAGGTGGCACATATTATTTAAAAACATGTAATATTGAAGCTGATAATGTTGTAATGAATAATGATGAAATTCAAATTAGCCCGAATATTCGTGGATAATGCCCAAGTATATTCGTCAGAATAGGAATAGCTGGGGTGCAGTGTCGACACTCCGCCGTCAAGGACTGCGGCACCTGGGACATCACGTCTCTCTATGCCTACAATAAAGATAAAACATTTGTTGCAATGTCATCCACGATGAAATATAATCTCGTGAATTCGTTGCCTCCGGGTCAGTTTGTTAGACATTGTCAATACGTAACACGACGATTCGTTATGATACGTATGGGATCAGACAAAAGACTTCATTTATTCAATAAATCGCTGAATTACTAAAGGAGTGGATTTTGCCTGAGAGATATTCATTTTTAAATTATCTTCGAATGATCTATCCTTATCAACGAACCCGTTCACTCGGGTTCATTACATTCCTACTTAGTCCAAAATTTTCTTCAACGATTCTTTGATGCCGCATAATATGAAACACTATATGATTGAGAAATTTTAGTTGGAAATTTTTACTAAAACTTTATTTGTTAGTGAAGGCGATTGAAATAATATACGGTAATAATAATGGTACGCAATCGTACCTCAATTCAGTATATGATGATATAACAAATGTGTGGTTACATCGTGTTTGCAGGCAAGAGTCCAGTGCCGGTTCATTGTGTGGTAGAATCTATCCACAGCATAGTGGAGCTACGAACAGCTGGAGGAAGGGAAAAGTGGCAAGGACCTCATCTGGAAACTGATACATACGTTATCATTCCAGCTTCTGTTCCATTTCAGGTAAATTTCAGCATATTTAATTATGAATACATTCAGAAGATTTTCTAAGAATAAAAATTTGGAAAATTATATCATAAACCCATATTTCTAATGAAAAGCCAGATGACGAATATGTCCTGAGTATATCCTAAATTTATAGTAATAGTTTTGGCCAATGCACTGACAATACCATTAAAAAATTCCTCTGCTGATCTAAAGAATACGTGACAGCGAATGGGACATACTATCCCAAACAATCAGAGAATGAAGAAGTAAAAGAAATAGCGAAGACATTACCTTATGGTAAACCAGCGGAAGGAGTTGTGTTCCAGAAGTTTCACCGAGAAAACTTCCTCCTAATACATCAGCGTGCCAAACGGCCGAGTACAGCACACGTATACTGATAGAGAAGGTGAAGGTCAGACAGTAACTACTACTACAGTAATTTTATGTTATATTGGCTAAGGATAAGTAATCATCAATGAATACTACTAGAACAAATCATAGTCGACAAAAACCATTCCAATGTTCTTTCTATTCATTCTCAATACGAGGAGTAAAAATAAATTTATTCAATTCGGAAGGAACATCAATTGAAAGAGTAATCTCCAAGAGCGTAGGCAGTCACAGTCTATAATCCGCAATGGCTAGAGACTGACATCCACCAGGACAATTAAGTTTTTCCCGACGAACCATCCCGAGAGAATCAAATGCTGTCTCCATTAGCGAGGAATTAGATAGTCTCGTCTAGCTGATCTTTCACAACAAGTACCTAGAAATTCTGTCTACGTCAACGAGGAAAGAAGTGGAAAAAAAATGATAAGTCTCGACCGTCGTTGTCTATGGCTAATGTCTTCCTGTGTGCACCATTAGCGAAGGCATGGGATTTCATTCTCAATTCTGGAAGTATGCGTCGTGAGGTACAAAACCTGAGATGGAACAATCCGGAAAACACCGACTACCTTGACGTTTCGGCAATCTTCGGGTTCCCAAAGCGCTTTGAGATCTTTTTTCAAATTGTTCTTACATGAAAAATATACGCCTTATATCCCAGAGAGACATACCCATTCTGGTGAGGGAACCTGTCATTTTCAAAACCCAAAAAATAATCAAAAATTATTTAAAACATACCTAGAAACCGAACGACAGTGACCAATTTGGTTAAATGGCTCGATCGGACGACAGGATGCATGAGGCGATTATTTTATGTTTTTTGCTTGAAGGAAGATGGAAAACTATTTAACCATCGTATGGTTGGACCTGCTCTGACAACTTAAACAACTTTCATAAGAATGAAGAAATCAACTGTTATTTGAAAAAAGGAAGTTAATCTTTACCGCTGAAAAACTCAACTTCATAGGTACAAATCGCATGTATTGACAATTGCATTGCATAACAATTTTTTCCATCGGTGCCTTCGTTCAAAAGTTATTTGGCGGTACAATTTCAAATAGGCAGCCTGCAGTATAGATAAATTCAATTATTGCAAGAAACAAAATGTTCACTATGATTGAAATAACAAAAAAAAAAAAATTAGCTTAACGAAATAACAAACATATATTTTGAACTAACAAATTTCCTAACCAATTGACAAATTATGAAATACTACTCAGATAGAAGAAAGTAAAGCTAAGTTAAATAAAATGTGGATAAAACAACTAACATAGTACGGAGATAAAATTAATATGGAGAAGGGATCTATAGTTACCACGAGAAATGAGCGTGTCCGCTAGTACAATGAGAAAAAGATAAAAAAAAGGATTCAGCAATCGAGAGGGGCAAAGCTTCCATAGAATGTTAACACACATCAGCAATAACTAAAAGCGTTACCAGTAAAATACGAAACTCAACTGTCGACCCACGTTATGAATCCTCTCTCAAAGCTGCAAATTTAACAACAAAATGTAATATAAAACTCATGAAAGTTAAAAGGCTTTACAGACCACGAGAGTAGTAAATGGAAAGCTCGAGGACAACAATACTGATCTCGGAATTCCTAGTATGGCAAATACAGACAAAAAACCGATAATGGAACGACAATTACGTGAAGCGAGAGTCAAAATTCCTCTTTAAGTAGAACTACAGAATTAATTCCGAAAACTCTGAAAATTTTTGTATGAATCAGTAAACTAGAATTCTTTCAAGCTAAGATATTTCTACTGGACGAGATTGTAAGACACTATGAAAATCTAAACATTCAAAAATGGCGTTGTCCGCCATGGACAAAGAGTTCGAAACATTAGATATCAAAATAAATTTCCGACGCAATTGAATAATTCTAGAGATTTTGTCGACCGCTCACCCTTCTCCGTTGAACAAAGTTCTCAAAAGAGGGGCAGTCCCAGCCCTCTAATCACGTCCAAAATTCTCTGGGATTATCATACTGGAAGACAATAATTACTCAAGATTACAGCGACCCATAAAAATTGGCCGTCAGTGTCCAGACGTCCAAACGAGAAGTGCCCATTAATGACGGAGTGACAATGCTCAAGAGGTGACGGAGCCGACCATTGCCATGATTGGCTCGTCACAGTCACGAGACTTATCTTGATTGGCTGCAAATTAACTTAAGTAATCAGATTGAAAATTTTTCAAAGAAGAATCTAACTGACATATAATGGTCAGAAATTAACATTGGGACTACTCAAAGCATTAATAACAATTTATATAATTGACCGCCAAATCTCGGTGAATAATCTTAGAATTATCGAACCTTACAACTTGCTAAGCTCAAGGGCCTATATGCTGATTTGAGTCTCATAGTCGCTAACCTCTGGACGTCTGCACCACCTCCGGGTCTCTCCATGTAAACTCCCAAATACAGCGGGAATCTTCAATTTTTCCCTTCTATCCTCTCGTGCTTTCCGCAATCAAATGAGAAGGATCATGAAAGATGACGCCAGAAAATCCCACGGCGAATCCCACGAAGTTTCCGAACCGAGTGGGGAGCGATTGGCTCGATACATGAGAAGGTCAATAAAACAAAAATATACAAATAAAAGAAAAGAAATGACATTTGACTTTCGCCTTACCAATGGTTCACTGCTCGTCTGGACATTCTAAAACTGACGAACGGTCGAAAATCTAGATACTACTTTACAGTATATATGTGTAGATGTCGCAAACTTTTTAACTCAGCATTATATCGACATTTTTTGCCAGGCGGGAAGGCGTGTTGAACCCCATAAATGCAATCAAGGAAATTCTCCCTTGATGCGGATGATAGGAGAATACGAAAGTAGCACATATTATACAAAACAATGAGAGAATGGAGAAATTAAAACACTTGGGGATAATATCCACCTTAATTTAACATAATGTGGATTACTGGAGTACGGTATCGCTACTTTGCTCCAACGATGGCTGCGGTCTTCGGGCGCACATAGAACATCTCCGGATGCCTCGCCAGGTGTGTAACAAAGGAAGACCATTTGATGCGATCGAATACACGAGGAAATATAAAGGCATCAATTAATTGCCTCTGAAACTGTTTCAAGTCACTTTCTTGCAGTTCATATTCGCCTGGTACCTTGGAGATCAGACAACATCTTTATTTATATAATAAATAATTAAATCAACTAAGGAGTCGATTCTCCTTGAGAGATATTAATCACCAGTAATTATCCGTTTGTAATCCACCCCTGCCTATTTGAATGTGAAGCGGTGTGAAAATAGTCTAGAAACCCGATAGTTCGAGACGAATCGAATACGAACATCCGATTTGAAATTCAAATAGTTCGAATAATATGACTTTCCACATTTCCTGCACGTCAATGCGATAAGGTTACAAGGAATTTCCAGAAATACACAATTCATAATTGATAATTCAATTGGTCTGAGATAATTTAATTGTCACGTTAAAGATATGCTCAGTTGGTATCACAGTATAGCGAAAATCGAATATTCATTCACAGTGTGGAAAGATTTTGGCATTCCTCAAATTGTCCATCGAATAAATGAGAAAGCTCGTGATTTGTTGATGAATTATTATTTCGAGCCTCCTTCGCAGTGAAAAATGCCGTATTATTCAGGTAGAATAGTTAAAATAGAGTACAATAATATATCAGCCGTTAGAAGTAACCGTATAAGGGAAATTGACAAAGTTTCAGAACATTTGCATCACTCATTGAATATTTTCCATCCTTCATTGTTTCTTCCACTTACTTAGGGACTGATAAAATATAGAATAGATAATGGAAAAGAATAGGTCCCTCAGTTGATGGACGTCTCTGCACGGAGAGAAAAATTCTGGAAAAAATACGTAAAAAGTTCCGTAAAAATTCATGTGTGAAAGGTAAATTTGAGGCGAAATGTAAAATCGAAAAAAGTGTCGATCATACAGAAAACTTTACCGCTCGGTCGGTAAAAAATCACCTTTAGAGGTAGAAAAATTACGGTTCTCATTTCCGCAAATTTTGCCGGGACTGGAAAGTACGATTCTAACCTCGCTTCACTCGGTTAGATCGAAGTTTCCAGTCCCTACGGTAATAAAATATCGTGTGCCTCACGGAGATAAAGTATTTTCTGACTCATGTGATTATAAACTCACATTTCGTCACAAAATATTTTACTCCCTAGAGGCACAGTATACTATTATCATTCCGACAATAATAATTTGCTAGGTGGGGTGATTCGAATAATGATTCGCGATCCAGTGTGACCAACAGCCGCACCACCAACGCTGTCTAGGAATTTTTCAATGCGGTCACGTAAAAATTACGGAACCTCACATAAAATTTAAATGAAACTGGATAATTTTTACGTTGCTCGAAATGATTTTTACCTGAACTGTAGTAAATTTTACAAGTTCGTAAGAAATTATGTGACAATCACGTAAATTTTTCAGAGCAAATAATAAAATTTACTGTTTGTCTCTTATTTTTTCTCAAATTCTCTAGTAAAAAACAAGGAACTCGAGCCTACTATTACGTGATTAGTCACTTAGTTTTTCCTATATTTTTCTCTTCGCGGGATCTTAGTATTCGCCACATGGCTTGAACTCATAATTCGTAGAAATTGAT